AATGAAAGAAAACGTATAGAAACGATATTTTAAAAGAAAGATAAAATAGAAATATCAAAAGAAAGAAACAAACAAGAAAAAAGAAAGAAAGAAAGAAACGACAAACGATATTTTAAAAGAAAGATAAAATAGAAATATCAATGAATAAAGAAAGACTTGTATAGAAAATAAATAGAAGATAGAAGAGAAAAGATAGATAAAGAAAAAGAAAGAAGTGATCATGAAAAATTAGGATCTCATCGTCTATCAATCTTTTAAAAGCAAGTAAAATTCGCGAACGTTCAAAAGGGGCAGAAACAATTCAACTCTAATTTTCTTTGAAGAAAGAAAGAATTTCTGTCTCTCTTTGGCCCTTTGTTTGCTCGAAGAAAGTGCTAAAAGAAATTACCGAAAGAAAGAAAGAAAGAAATTTCTGGAAAGAAAGAAGCTTTATCAATTTCTTGGTTTTATTTTTATATAAATGATGGAAAAATGACATACTGGAAATAAGAAAGAAAAAAAAAAGCAAAATGGTGAGAGGAAAAAGAAAACCAAAATATATAGAAAGAAAGAAAGAAAGAAAGAAAGAAAGAAAGAAAGAAAGAAAGAAACGCACAAACGATATTTTAAAAGAAAGTAAAAATAGAAATATCAAAAGAAAGAAACAAACAAGCAAAAAGAAAGAAAGAAAGAAACGCACAAACGATATTTTCAAAAAAGAAAGAAAAATAGAAATATCAAAAGAAAGAAACAAACAAGTAAAAAAGAAAGAAAGAAAGAAAGAAACAAAGAAGAGAAAGAAAGAAAGAAAGAAAGAAAGAAAGAACAAACGAAAGAAAAGAAACGCACAAACGATAGAAAAAAAAGAAAAAAAAGAAATATCAAAAAAAAAAGAAACAAACAAGAAAGAAAGAAAGAAAGAAAGAAACGCACAAACGATATTTTAAAAGAAAGTAAAATAGAAATATCAAAAGAAAGAAACAAACAAGCAAAAAGAAAGAAAGAAAGAAAGAAACGCAGAAGAGAAATTTTCAAAGAAAGAAAGAAAGAAAGAAAGAAAGAAAGAAAGAAAGAAAGAAAGAAACGCACAAACGATATTTTAAAAGAAAGTAAAATAGAAATATCAAAAGAAAGAAACAAACAAGCAAAAAGAAAGAAAGAAAGAAACGCACAAACGATATTTTAAAAGAAAGTAAAATAGAAATATCAAAAGAAAGAAAGAAACAAGCAAAAAGAAAGAAAGAAAGAAAGAAACGCAGAAGAGAAATTTTCAAAGAAAGAAAGAAAGAAAGAAACGCAGAAACGATATTTTAAAAGAAAGTAAAATAGAAATATCAAAAGAAAGAAACAAACAAGCAAAAAGAAAGAAAGAAAGAAAGAAACGCACAAACGATATTTTAAAAAGAAAGTAAAATAGAAATATCAAAAAAGAAAGAAAACAAGCAAAAAGAAAAAAGAAATAAAAGAAAGAAACGCACAAACGATATTTTAAAAGAAAGTAAAATAGAAATATCAAAAGAAAGAAAGAAACAAACAAAAAGATAGAAAGAAAGAAAGAAAGAAACGCAGAAACGATATTTTAAAATAAAATAAAATAGAAATATCAAAAGAATGTAACAAACAAGCAAAAAGAAAGAAAGAAAGAAAGAAAGAAAGAAAGAAAGAAAGAAAGAAAGAAAGACAAAAAGGAAACTTCAGAAATGGAAAAACAAATATCTAATAAAAGAAAGAAAGAAAGAAAGAAAGAAAGAAAGAAAAAAAAGAAAAAGAAAAAGATAGAAAAATAAAAAAAGAAAAGAAAGAAAGAAAAGAAAGAAAAAGAAAGAATAAAAGAAAGAAAGGATGAAGAAAGAAAAAAGTGGAAGGATGAAAGAAAGAAAGCCGAATAATGATCAGGTGTGGAAGCTGGAATGGAATAATAGAAAAGAAAAGAAAGAAAGAAAGAAAGAAAGAAAGAAAGAAAGAAAGAAAGAATGAAAGAAAGAAAGAAAGAAAAGAGGGAAGACGAGTTTGCATAAAAATCGCTAAATAACAAGTCGCTGGTGTAAAGAATGAGAAGGTTATGGAAAGAGAAGTAGAAGGTGGAGAGGCGGTGGTTTGGCAAAACACAGATGAAACTCAAGATGCTGATAGTGATGATGGTTATTTTGCCGACGGCGGGGGATATTTTAATGACGTTACATGAACACCTGCGAAAGAAGTGACGGTGGCGGAAACAATATGACACCGGAATTGCGACAAATCCTATAAGGTTTTAGTTGTTAGCAATTATTTCCAAGAATTTGTTTTTATCTGAATCTCGCAGGTAGGATCGAACTCTTCACGGGAATTCCACCTCAAAAGATAGCAAGCATTTTTGCTTTCTTAATAATTTGCTTTTTTTTTTTTTTTCATTTATTTCTATTATTTTTTTTATTTTTATTTTTTCAACGTTTAGAGATTTATGTACACATTATTTTGTGTGTGTGTGTGTGTGTGTGTGTGTGTGTGTGTGTGTGTGTGTGTGTGTGTGTGTGTGTGTGTGTGTGTGTGTGTGTGTGTGTGTGTGGGTGGGTGCGCATGTGTGTCTGGGTGCGCGCTTTTGTGTGTTTCTGTGACATAGTTATCACGTTCATCTATGTGATTATGAGACTTTTGTGTTGTGTGTCTCTGTGTGCGTTTCTGCGTGTGTGTGTTTTTTTAATAAATAACAAATGTAGTATCTGTGCCCGATGTCGGGTCGTTTTTTTAATGAAATTATTCGATCTTTCTGGTCGAGAAAGCGACCCGAGACTTTTTAGCTGAAGACAATCTTTAAAAGCAAAGGAGATGAAATAAGGTGTAAAATAGTTATATTATTACTTGCTAAGTTTTAGCTCCTTTTTTGGCACAAGGCCATAGATATTAGACATTATTTCGGGATCAAACTCACTCCTCAATAATAATATTCAACCATAGTTGCTCGTGAATCATTAGCCTACACTGAATCACCTGAATATTATTTACTGAGATTAACTTTGTTGGAATCAAGGCCTTATGGTTTGGTTTGCTTTGTTTTACGACATATCAACCTCAATGGGTTATTTAATGCCAGCAAGACTTTTATTGCTGGTAATATTTTTTGTCTATCTATCTATCTATCTATCTATCTATC